CATACCACACATCTATGGTTTCTTCATCTCTCTGTAAATTTTTTTATTTATTGTGTCTTTTATCAATGCCCAATGGGTGTGCATCCATGAAGAAACCAAAGTAGAAGTGAATTGCTTTCCTATATACTTTCGTTTTATAAATCAATACATGTGTGACAGTAATGTGTTTAAAACACACAGAAATTCTGGATAGTTCTTCTCATAGTGATTTGTCCAAATATTTGCTTGCTTTCCCCAAAGCACTTAAAAAAGTAAAAGTAAAAATATATATATATATAATTTTTTTCTTTTGCACTTAATATAAAAGCTTAGCTTTACCTCTTCATTCACTTCTATTACCTTTGTTATTTTTCACAGGCCTGTACACAGGTCCATATATTTCTTTAATAGGTTTTAAATTTTACTGCAGACCCTTGTTATTGGCTCCCTAGCCAATTTATTTACTCAGCAATATGATTTATTCAGGTGGAAATGGGAAGTTTATGCAATAGTCTCCCTAGACTTGTCTGAATATATTACGCTCTGAGCCATGCTGGCCAGAGTGCACCTTTATCTTAGAAGATAAAGAAGTCTTGCAACACTTGCACAAGGACTGCTGGAAACCCAGGGTCCCATGAAGATTCTGAAGATTCTGCAAACAGAAAATCACTGCAAGATTCTGTGCACACGTTATTAAGCTGAAAGGAATTAAAAGAATAAAAATGTTTGGGGGAATGGCCCATGGAGGATCCCATCCAGCTCTGGAAAATTTCCTGGACTGGTAAGAGCAAGCAGAATATTTCTAAACCCATCCTTCATCAGCTCATGCTGGGGTGCACCATTCAGCAAACTGGTTTCAGTTTTGCCTGGTTTCACTGATGTCCTCAGGGCTGCCCAACCCCTCAGCAAGGTTCCAAATGCAAGCACAGTTAGGGTGAAACCACCTTTAGATCTCATAAACCTCCTTTCTAGTCTCATACTGAGCAGAGCTTACTGAGAACAAAATAGGTGTATTCATCTAGTTCAGATACTTATTTATAGTTGGGTCAACTGGTAGAGAGCTTCCAAGCTGCTATAGAGCATGGTTTAGATTTAATTCCACATATCCCAACTGAGACACCTTTATCTGTCTACTGTCACATCCCATATCATCACTGTATTGCTATCACAGCCCTGTTCAGTCTCTGAAAGGACTGTATGATGGGGTAGGCTGCAGCAGAGAGAACAAGGCTCATCCACCCTGACAGTCTACTCCAGTCTTTTATTCCTGTCCCATTGTGTGTCCATCACTCTGTTTTTTAGCTCTACAGAGCCATTTTTTTCTGTGACAAATGTTCTTACTTCCTGCCCTTTCTTGATTAATCTTTTCACCAGCTGTAGTTGTGTTTGCAGAGTATGTGTTGCTATGCATTCATTTCACCACCTCCACACCTCAGAGCATTGGCAACAATCACTGACATTCTTTAAATAAAAATGCTCTTAACTCTTTGCGTCCAAAGTGAGAAAAAGAAATGTCAGTATTATGGATTGTGACCAGACAATGATTTTGCTAAGAGTCTATGCACTGTAGGACGCAAAGGAGGGACAGCATAATCTGAGAAGTCACATAAGTATACACAACTCTCTTTGCTCTATTTCCTCTATTTTCTCCTCACTTCATGGAATTATAATTATTAGCAACAATTTAACATACATGCCCAGCACAAGCTGGCACATAACAGGGAGGAGAGTGGGTGGCAGAGCAGCAAGATGTTTGAATGTGCTTAAATACGAAGTAACTAAGGTTCTAGCAAGTGGTCAGGAATACGTGCTACAGTTCCTGGCTTTTGAAACATCAATGACACGGCCATTTGCAGTGCACTGACAACAATTTCCTGCCTTTGTATCAGCTATTGGAAAGAAACTGCACAGCCAAGGTCTAGGCAGATTGTGCTGGGGCCCAGGAGAGGTGCTTGCTTTCTTCCAGGCTGCATTGCTGGGGCTGAACTCCACATTTTGTCCTGTCAGTCACTTAATTAAGATTTGTCTATTGGATGTGGCAGGTGCAGCTTGTGGTGTCAGTGGCCAGTATCTGTATGTTCCTGCTCAGCTGCTTCCTAAATGGAAATGTGCAATAACCTTAAAGAGAGTTAGTTTCTGTCTTTGCTTTTAAATATTTTAATAATTCACAGATAGGCTTTTTTGTTTGTTTGTTTCTTTGATTGTTTTATTTGCTCCTTTATATTTATTTCAAAGAGGGCATTGTTACAAATAGCTCCAAGGACAGCCTCTGCAGTTTTCCCCATGCCACAATTTTATCCTTACAATTTTTCTTCAAAAAGTGAATAATACACCATTCAATGCATTGATACTGCACTCTGCTCATAGAAATGCTGCCTACAGCTGCTGTGAAAGGGTGGTCCAAACCAGCCCGCAGCACTGAGCTATCTGTGAGATGGGCAGTGGGAGTCCCCTGGCCTTGCCGTGTCCTGGCAAGTAATTTGGCATTCGCAGGAGTTATTGCCACAAAGATTTGAATCTTCTGTGCTGGGTCTTCCAAGTACCAGCAGTATTTCTTATAAAAAATCTGACTTGTTTGTCTCATGCAGTGTTTCAGAACAGGCAAAGAGTCTTTACACAGAATTGCCCTGTCCTCTGATGCCAGGACAACTTCTTCAGACAGTCTGTCCTTCTCTCTTCTCTCTTGTTTGGCTCCTTCCCATGTCACTTTCCCTCTTGTGCCCCTGCTTTTCTGACCAACGGCCATCTAGGCAGGTGTTGATCCGTGATTATCTGTGCATCCTGGTTTATCATATCAGAGAAAGCACTGGCAAGAAAAGTCAGGGAAGGTTCCTTCCAGCTGGTCATTCATTTTATCATGCATTTTTGGCAGCAGTCTTTTTAAAAATAGTCATATATGCTTGCCAGAGAAAGTGTGTAGCGAGTCTGTCTCCATGAAATGAGCTCCTGAGATTTCCCTGTTCGTCTCGAGCAGTGAGTATCTCAGTTCTGGGAACGCTGCGATCATTTGAGAATCTGATTTTCTCTTTCCACGGAGTAAGTCGTGAGCTCTCGTGATTAGGGGGAAAAAAAAAAAAAAAAAAAGCCAGGGCAATGCCACACGCTCCCAGCCTCGCCAAGCTCGCTTCACTGAAGCTCCTTTCCAAACCCACGCCAGGAACCCGGGTGTCGGGGCGGGGTGCGGGGCTGCACCCCGGCGGGAGGCAGGAGGGAGCAGCTTCCCCCGCTCCCTCCGGGAGGCGCCCGTGGGGGCGGGCGGGGGGCGCGGCTCCCGGCGCTGCCGCAGCGGCGCGGCTGCCTGCGGACTAC